AGCATAAAAAGTGGCTTTATTTGATGAGCAGATTCATCTCTAAAGATCTTTGGGGGAAACCCAGCAATAGGAGAAGCTTGGGCCTGAGTTAAAATAGCTAGTGTATTCACTTCTTCACAGTGAACAAAGGGCTTGACTGATTCACCAGACAAGCAATTGGCTAATTTTACACTGTGGGAAAGATCACAGACACTCATACGCAAATTAACAGCATCTGCCACTCCAGCTCAAATGAGGATTAAAATGCTGCTCTTCACTACAGTCATAACTGGAGTAGTTTCATATTGATGTTTATAAACTCTTTGATGGCAAAGAGGTATAAGGGCAATATTTTCTCATTGACAAAGGCTTATGCACTGTCTTAACCAAACATAATGGAATACACTGTAAATATGCACCCTGCAACCAAGGGATGTGAATAGACATTCCTTCATGTATACACAGACCTGAAATACCTTGAGTTGCAATGCATGCTTTATTACCTGAGGGATATGGAAGATGCAGGCAACATTTGTAAAGAGAAATCATGCGAATTGCCCTACTGCCATGATTATTGCTAATGACACTATTGGCCCAATAGCACACAAACAGTTCTTCCAAATCACACTATCTTTTCTTCCGATAACAACTTTAAAACAGCTCATAACAACTATCCACATGCTTATGTCCAGGTATGCCAAGGCTGCAGAATATCTGTGAAATGTTGCATGGCAATTTTGTACAGTCGTTGTTGTGTGCCTTCAAGTTTATGATAATCCTCAGGTGACCGGAACATGAAGTCTTCTGGAGCTGAGAGTGTGCGACTCACCCAAGGTGACTCAGTGGGTTTCCATGACTGAGTGGGGAACTGGACTCTGAACTCCATAGTCATAATCCAGCATTCAAACCACTACACTATACTGGCTCTCAACTATCAATATGTGGCCTGAATCCTGTGGGCAGAGTCAATGAATCAATAGCATTTACCAACATGTTGACTCATCAGTCAACAATTGATTTAGTGGTTCTCTTCTAGTTAGGAGTAACTAATAGGATATTGGCCCATATGTGCATTTGTACTTGATCATAATCAGAACATGAGAGAAAAAGAAAAGTTTTGACAACTGTATGTTAAGTAAAAAGTAGCAATGTGATTTGTTTCAAAGGTAAATGAATTCTGAAAGATGAAAATTCTTTGTAAAACTGCACTGAAAACACAAAGTGGTACAGTACAGCAGTTTGAAAGGCACCTATATACAGGTAAAATTATTCCCAGTTGACAAGGTTGTTAAGATGTGTCCAACCATAGGAGGTGGTGCTCATCTCCGTTACTAAGCCGAAGAGCCAGCGTTGTCTAAGGAATACTTTGTGATCATGTGGCCAGCAGGATTGCACAGAATGCTGTTACCTTCCCACCAAAATGGTACCTATTTATCTACTTGCATTTGCATGCTTTCGAACTGGTAGGTTGGCAGAAGCTGGGACTAGAGACAGGAGCTCATGCCATCATGCAGCACCCCAGCCTCAAACTGCCAACCTGCCGATCTTGCAATCAACAGAGTCAGCCTCTTAACCACTTGAGCCACTGCATTGCTCGCTCTATCTATCTGTCTATCTATCTATCTATCTATCTATCTATCTATCTATCTATCTATCTATCTATCTATCTTTGCATTAGGTTCAAGGTGAGAACTTAAGGTTCTTAAGGTGAGTGAGTGGTTGTCACATTAACACAGAAGCCTGATGTGAACCCACAGCCTCCCTCAGCCAGCTCTTTGTGACTGTTCTGATACACAATCATCACCAAACAATTTCAGATCCATTCAACAAATAAACATCAAAACTGAGAAACAAAATCAAAGCCTAGTTTTCCTAGTCTTTAATTGCCAGCAATTAAAATCTCATATCTTGGTTGCAAACTTCAACAACAATACTTTTTAAACATTTGGGTCCTGTTAAAGAAATATTCCATTCTTTTGCTTCTGGCAAAGTAAAAAAAACAAAAACAAAAAAACGTTCAAGATATTTCAGCATATAAAAGTAGGTGCTCTCTGCAGAATCGGTGTTGATGAGAACCATACTACTGAACAGGAAGTTCAAAAGACAGAGGATGGCAGATGAGAGCTGCTCCATCTGTTCTGGAAACATATAACTGTACAGCAGAGGCCAAAACAACTGACAAAGCAAAGTCATTATTCATGGAAAGACTCTGAACCTTGGCCATTTGTCAAACACTCGACTGCTGGGCCCAATGGGCCTGCAAGTATCTCACACAGTTTGGTGCTCTAATAACTGTCACATGCTGAGGTGTCACTGAAACAAACTGCTGAAATTTAGTGTGGGGGCAAGAATAAGGCACATCAATTACAGACTGACCTCACTCACCATCATAGATGGTTGATCCTCACAAACATCAAATGTGCCTCTCTCTCTCTCTCTCTCTCTCTCTCTCTCTCTCTCTCTCTCTCTCTCTCTCTCTCTCTCTCTATATATATATATATAATAGCAGCCAAAGAAGAGGAAGAGGAGTAACAATGATGAACTAGGAAACATTTGCTGGGAATTTCTCTGAACATGCCAGCATAGATGCGGGTGAAACGTCAGGAATATATTCTTCTAGAACACAGCCTCACAGCCCCAAAACCCCACAAAAACCTATGGATGCTGACTGTGAAAAGCTTTCAACTTCACATTTGCTGGGAAATTTCTCTGATTGTTACATTGGAAATGTGATTCCCCCCCCCCCCCCCCCGAATGCAAATATTTTCTGGGATGCAAATATTTCTATTTCAGTAGTTTTAAGACCTAGCATTAGGGCTGAAGAAAGTATGTGATTGCTGGGACATGTATGTACCAGCAAAGGGAACTAGTAAAAGCAAGTTATGACAAGTTTGCTGCTTTCATTTTTTTGAAAAAATGAGCTGTTAAGGAGATATCAACAGTATCAGATATGTTTTGGATGGATGGATGACTATGATAGAATATTCATTTACTTCTAAGCTGAAGTGAACACTAAGGACGTTATCACAGGGGGCAAATCTGCTGGTTAATCCACACAAAATCCAGACCGAAACTG